GATCGAATATGTCCAAACTTTTCATCATCCAACCCTAGCTAGAAATCAATGGTTTTATCACGTTCATCTACATCCCCCAGTTAAATATTCTTTTTTTATTGAAGGTAATTATTTTCATTTAATGAATTATTGTCGTTTAAATTTAATTAATTAATGAATTTTTATTAATTTAATTTTAAAAATATGTAATAAAAAATTAAGAAAATTAAGGTTTGAAGTCCCAGGGCTTCAAAAGTATTTCCAGTACTCTAATTCATAAGCAATAGTATGAGAGACAATGTATACTAGGTTGGATGAATTCATCCACTATTAAAAATTCAGCTACAAACAATTTGATTATTAGCATTTCAAGCAGACATCTCATATTCATCGGTGGTTTGGGGACTCTCACGTATGACAAAAACTAGATTTTCCATGAAATGATGTAACACGTTCAAATCAAGTGCTCTACAATATTAAATCTCCAAACCTTGCATGAGAAAAGAATGAGGTATACATTAATCTCTCCTAAACGTAAATCTTCAAACCTTGTATGAGATGTAAAATGTCCCTTAGAAGGAGCGCTCAACACCACTTCGTGCAAGTTCATATTGTTCAAAAAGTTTAATAAGTGCAAATGTTGATACATGATTGAGTAAATTCTTTAACAGGGGAATACGAAGGTGAATTGTGTTAAATATATTCTTACTATATTTAATATTGTAATTATTATATTGTAATTACCTAAAATGTATAGATTACCATATATGTTTCCTACTCTAACTAGGAAACCCTCTTGTATATATACACATGTAATCTCTCCATTATGATTATTGGAAATTAATCATTCTTCATGGTATCAGAGCTCTAATCAATCACAGCTCTCCTCTCCAACCCTAATTCTCTCTCTCTCCTGTTCGGCCGTACCTCCCCCCCCACGACAGTCTTCTTCGCCGCCGGCAACTATGGCCGAAGTCTCTTCCGTCACTTCCGACAACAACACCTCCTCTAAATCTCCCCACCTTGCCTTCACAACAATCTCCAATATCAAGCTTCATATTCCTGTTCAGCTTAGCATCTCTGAACCCAACTACAAAAAGTGGAGTAGACTCTTTCGTCTCCTTGTCCTCCGCTTCAATCTCATGGGATATCTCGGCGGTACCACCGTCGCCTCTTCCAAAGACGACACCGAATGGTTTCAATTTGATGTCCTTCTTCAAGGATGGATTCTATCCACAGTCTCCAATGAAGTCTCAGATCTTGTTCTTGCCAGCAGCCCCTCTGCTTCTGCTTTGTGGACGGCGATCTACAAACTTTTTCATGATAATAAACATGCTCGAGCGATGCAGTTGGACCACCGGTTCCGAACAACCGTTAAAGGCAATCGGTCCATCAATGACTATTGCCATCTCCTCAAAAATCTGGCAGACTACCTCGACGACGTGGATGCCCCAGTGACCGAACATGCGCTTGTTTTACAGGTTCTTCAGGGCTTGCCTCACGACATCCGGGGCCAAGTGCACTTCTTACAATATCAGAACCCCTTCCAACGTTCATGGAGGTTCGGTCGGCACTCCTACTCGTGGAACAACAACAGGCCGATGCCCTCTCCCACACCGGGCCGTCGACCGCCCTCTTCAGCACCGGCGGCGGTGGCAGCAGCACCGGCAGCGGGGGACAGTCACGGCAGTCAGGTAGCGGCGCTGGACGGGGTTCTTACGGCGGTCAAAACCGGGGCAACAACGGACGTGGACGTGGTCGTGGACGTGGCCCGAATCAGCGACAACCCATCGGCCCAAACCCTTGGCAGTTCCCAACCCCCTAACCCGGCATCCTAGGCCCACGGCCCACCTACAGCCCCAACCCACACAGCCCAAA